TCAATATGCGAAATGGAGCCATCTTCGAAAATTCCCCTTCTGGAGCATGGCTGATCAAGTCTGAAAATCTAAGAAAATGGTTGTCAAGGAAACATTTGCCAAGTAGAAATACCATAGTATGCAAATGACATTCATTCCATTGTTCACCACAAGATAATGAGTGCCCTGCATGCGTAAGGATACAGGCAATCGAATTCTAATTGGCAGTACGACGAATGCTTCGCTGTCTTATATTTTCCAGCAGGGACCTCAATCCAATTTCCACCAACTATGTTGCAATCAATCATGAAACGAAGAGCAAAAAGAACATTGCTTTCATATGTCATGAAGCTCTTCATACCAAGACCATCAATTTGTATGCCTCTATCAAGAATACCTGGAAGTTTAAGAGAGTAAGGGATATAAATAAACCATTATTAAACAAAAGCTACATGATGGAAACATGGCAGTACACCATCCATTATTAATCATAAGCTACATGATGGAAACATGGCAGTACACCATGAGATGCAAGACGCAATATGAAGGATTCGGATCCTCTCTTAAACTTGTTCTCTACTAACCTACCTCGGCTTTTAATCAGATAGAGACACATGGCTAATATCAGATCCTATGGTTTACAATTAGTTTGGCCTTTTGTTTACTTTTGCAAATTGAAATACACTGTTAAAAATACACGTCAAACAAAAATAGTTGCGAAGAGCCCTTCTTTATTCTTCTGTTTCTCTTTATCTATGTTCTTACCCATCAAAAGCTACAGACTTTCAGCCATTTCCACCATTTTCCTGATGTTTTTCCCTTCCATTATAATAGGGTTTATCTTCTCTTCAGGTAAAACAATAATGAAACATTAAATAAATAAATAAAAAATGAAGAAACTAATAAGCCACACGATCTGATTTTGGTTACATGGTTGGCTACTGTTAAAACCTTAGCACTGAAGGAGCTCAGGAGAGGATCCTTGTCCCAATTTGAGAATTTTAGCTCTCAGAATATAAAAAGAGAAAAATTGGAAAGCAATTATCATCAAAGATAATTCTGTCATAATCCACCGTAAAATGCATTCTTCTGCATGTAGGTGATTCATGCAAAAGTAAAGCAGACCCGCCATACATGTGAATTACTGCACGTTACAAATGTTAATGAAACTGAAACTCTTACCCCGGCAGCTGGCCACCATTGTTGGCAAAGCAACAACAATTTTGAGGAAGGGATGAGAATCCTGCTGCTGGTAATACATGATACTCCTCTTCTGCACCATTTCAATATGGCGAATGAATTTTGGTACCTTACTGTTCCGATTCATCTCCCCCATTCTCCCCTATTGCATCAACAAACACAAAATACATAAACAATAACAGCAATGCAACTTAACAAAGACATCTAAGCTGTTCAAGAAATAAACCCAAAGTACCTCAAGAATTTGATGAAACCTGGAAATATCGTCAGGGCCCATTCCTGGAGGACAGCTGATATAGAAATATGGCTCGAATCCATGAACATGGCAGCAAACACTATGTCCTAGGATGGTTATGCGACAATTTATCAGGCTCAAAAAAAATTGCATTATTTAGTTTAGTAGCAACAATCCTTCAAGGTAATAATTTATGTGCACAATTTTGTTAAATACAGCAGCATATACTATTTCAATGCAACAACATGACACTTCTGGGAACAAATAACAACGTATGACGTTTTGTTAAATACCCTTTATTAACACTTGCTCAGGTTTCTCACCCACCAAGCAGAATGATAACCCGAAAAGTGAACAAGCTAACCTTCCTTTGTAACCCCAAAAATTCGGATAATTGCAGCGGACCCGGACCAATTAGGCAACAATTCTCTATGGCTAGCTCCAATAACATAATCAATCTCCAATTGCTGAAAAGCTACAGCCCAGAAGGCCAAAAAAACAATTAAAACCGCCAAAAATCCAATATCAAACAGAAGAGTTAGGAAAGTTTTTTTTTTCAAAAATGGTAACCCATTACAGAAAAAACCCAATCGAGCAAAATTTGAAGACTGACCGATGCTTCGGGAGGCGGAACTGTAGGCATGGGAGATAGACGGGCGGGCCCATTTGGTGAGGCGGGAAGCAAGGGACTGGCGCTCCTCAATGTCGCGAAGAATGAGGTCGTCTTCAGTCTCGAAAAGGGTTTCGTCGAGGAAGACGTCCTCGTCCAGAAATTCATCTTCTTGGGACGTGGCGTGCTGCTTGGGTGGGTTCGCTGGTGACGGCTGTTGTGTTGGCGCTGGCCGTTTTCTGCTTACGCCTTTGTTCATGGCTTTGTGTTGTTCAGGGTTTTTCAGGGTTTTGAGGTCTGGTGCTGGAGACCAGAAAGAAAGCCACTCGGTGAAGACGAGAAATGAGATTCCCGCCAAGTTGTGAGAGGTTTTTTAATTAAAAACGCTGCGTTTAGGAACCTATACTCTTCTTTTTCTTTTCTTTTTCTTTTTTTCAAAATCGTAACCTCGCAAAGGGCTAGTTTCATATTTCTATTTTCTTTTCTTTTTTCAAGGATTAAATACTTTTTTTGTCATTGAGTTTTAATTAAAATTTTAATTTGGTTAGTTATTAAAAAAAAAAATTGCCAAAGTAATCATTGTATTAACCAAAGTTTACAATTTATAAATTTGCCATTAAGTTGTTGGGTTAAACACATTTTTGGTCATTGGGTTTTATACAAAATTTCAGTTTGATCACTTAGAACAAAAATGTAGCCAAAATCCATGCACATGCTATGCTCTTGCATATGCCGCTCATAGGCTAAAAATTTATGGTTGGTGTAGCATCCATTAAGGCACAAAAAAGGAATCATATGAAGAATAGTTTCACAAAAAAGCAAATCAATCTTTTCAACAACAAAAACTCCAATTATAATCCCAACCATTATCATACTCTCACATTCACAAAAATTCAAATCCATAACCATGTCAATGCATATATTTGAACACATAAAGAAATGTTCGAAATAAAGTTTTGCATTTTTGGCTTTTTAAATAAAAAAATAAAAAAATTTTTTTTTTTTTTTTTTTTTTTTTTTTTTTTTTACAGTGACTAAAAAGAATTTGGACAGGACTCGACCCGAATTCCCTCTTGAAACTCGTGCCGAATCCTGTTACCCGACCAACACCTGAACGATGCCAGACCCACTACTAACTTTACACCTCTCACCCGTACTTTTAAGAAAAATGGGTAGAGACTTCTACCGAAATTTCGGCTTAGTCTC